ACTCTGCCACTTATCAGCTGTGGGACTTTGGGCAAGTTGCTTAGCCAGTAGAATCCTTGGTCTTGTACCTTATAATGTGAGAATGGCATTATCTTTCATGCAGGAATATTGAGCATTAGAGGTAATGAGTTTACATCATATAGCACAGTGCCTGGCATATGAAAGATACTCAGTAAATTTTGTTGAATGAACAAATTCCATTTTGAAAAACTCAATGTATAAGGAAGGCTTTGTTTTATTCAAGCTAGAATAAGTCTTTTGCTTTCTGCCAGGTAGCCAGGAACGTTTTTGAGGTGGGAGTAAAATTGAGTCTTCTTTCTTGTGATGAAGCAATAAAGAAGGTGAGGTTGGGGACATTGTCAGTGAGTAGACTGTGCAAAAAAAGATTGTTAATGCTTCTCCACATGCTTGTGTTGTAATGACTCCTTTGACAAGTCATGACATGCATTTGAGATTGGTGGTGACTTTGGTGGATACAGGCGGGGGCAGGTAGATGGTGGATTTGTAATATAGTTAAGGCTGTGGATGACTGGATGGTGTGTTTGAGGATCCACGTCCCCTGATGTTATTTTTTTTCTCCTGGTGTTTTATGAATTGAAGTGTTGGGTGAAGCTGGTGAACACATCTAGGTGTTGAGGAAGCCAGACTTTTTGGGCCTAGTTTTCGTAGGGCTTTGATGATCTTGTGCCACACAACCGGCTTAACTCAGATACTCCTCAGGAATGGGGCTGGTAGCTGAGAGAGTTGCTGTCCTTTCTTTGCCTTTTTATTTTTATTTATTTTTTATTTTTTTATTTTTTATTTTTTTAAAATATATCTTTATTGATTTCAGAGAGAGGAAAGGAGAGGGAGAGAGAGAGATAGAAACATCAATGATGAGAGAGTCATTGGAGATTGAGCCCGCAACCCGGGCATGTGCCCTGACTGGGAATCGAACCCCGATTGCCTGGATCCTAGGTTGATGCTCAACCGCTGAGCCACTCCCGGCCGGGCTGCCTTTTTATTTTTAGTGTAGTTGATGCGGGGTAGTTCTTAGGACACCAGTTCCTAGCAGACACCAAAGGAAGTTGTTTCCAGAAGTCTAGACCTCTTAATTGTATAATGCCAGGTGGTACCCCAGTGGGAGTTTATAATCAGATGAGGAAGATATGTCTGAATCCTCAGGAGGGCAGCCTTCTTGTCTGGTCCTTAAACCCCTGCCCCAGTCAGGTACCTCTCCTGGTGCCCTCAAAGCACACACTGTACTCTAATACACGTGACTATTAATCTGTCTCCCCCCAACTAGGGACCCAGTCTTCTATCTCTTAAGCTGCTGAGGGCAACGGTCTTTTACTGAAGGCACTTAGGCCCTACATAGTCGGTGTTGAGCTCTCCTGGCTACTGTGACCCCACCCAGTCCTTCCTCAGGGAGACTGGAGCAAATAGGATCTATCTGGCAAAACCTTCTGAATGTGTAGGAAGGAAAGTCCTGCATAAACAAAAGTGATAGTATTAATAGCATTACTAATTATTTTTTAGGGTTGAGTTAATGTGGTTAAATGATCTTTCAGGTGTTTGGCTTCCGCCTCTCCCCTTTCAGCCTTTTTATTTCCCCAAGCCAGCAGGACAGGGTTAAAAGAGGAGGTGAAACACCACATATTTTTTTGCTGAATTAGCATCTTATAAAAGGTCTTTGGCTGCTGGCATCCTCTTTGTTATTCATTAAGCTTCTTTTAGTGCCCCTGTAACCTCCTTGCTTTTCTTGTTGTATCACTAGTCCTATCTAGGTGTGCTCCAAGCTCACATCCAGGACTTGCTGCAACCTTGTTAATGCCTAGATAATCACAAGGATGAAACCAATAGCTAAGGGGAGTGAAGGATTTTTCCCTGGGCGTTACTCCTTGTCTCTTGGTTTGGGGGTGTACATTGCAGCGTGGCATGCCTTCACTGATGGCATCTTGGCAGGAGTGATAAGCTACATTGTATGTTAAGCAGATTTGAGAGGAGACTGGGTGAACCAGCAGGACTGGCCATGAGTAGAAGAGTGGGACCTCTTCTTTGTTAGTTACTATCTCAGAAGTGTCAGCTGTACTCTCAGTGGCATGTGGAATCCATAAAGGACATGACAGAATTATCATGGCTTTTCTGTGGCTCCCTAGAGAAGACAGCTTTCCATGCTTTGACTGGAATTGGAAACAGAAGGTTCTTTCCCAGTCTGTGGTCTTGAGCAAGTTACTTGTCCTCTCTGTCACTTCAAAATGGGAGAACTCCACCTGTTCTGTGGGCCTCATTAGGCTACAAGGATTCAAGGACATATCATGGAAGGGAAAGCTCTTCCAGAACAGTAAAGGCAAGTGCAGATGGAGGGCTTTTGACTCTTTGTCTAGGAATTGTATGTTTTTATCATAAACATAAGTCCTTGTATAAAATACCAACCATACAGAAAAATACACAAAATAAAAAGTAAAAAGACACCACCCCCCCATGCCCCTTTCTAAACCCTTTCCCCCCCAAATAGGGAACTATCTAACGGTTTTAACAACTGTTAACTATTTATCATGTATCTTTCTAATCATTTTGTGTCCTTCTAGACATTTCTAATAAGGTATTACTTATAAAATAAAACTCACCCTGGCTGGTGGTGCTCAGTGTTAGAGTGTTGGCCCACAAACCGAAGGGTCGTGGGTTTGATTCCCGGTCAAGGGTAGGTACCTGGATTGTGGGTTTGCTCCCCGCCTGGACTGGGGGCGCGTGCAGGAGGCAACCAGTCGATGTGTCTCTCTCGACATCAGTGTTTCTCTCCCCCTCCCTCTCTCTCTTCCACTGTCTCTGAAAAGCAATGGAAAAATATCCTCAGGTGAGGATTAACAACAAATAATAATAATAATAATAATAAAATAAACAGAACTCATTAACAATACATACTATTCTTCAATTTGCTCTATTCACCTAACAAGTTACCCAGGGTCGAGTAGTCCCTGTTGGAACCTTTGATGAGCCTGGTTGTAGCCTCCTTCCCAGCTTGGGGGTTCCCCTGGGGCTCCCTCCTCGGGAGGGCGGAGAGGCTTTACTACAGGTTCCAGCCAGAGTGGCCCCCTGGCTATCTCGAAGGGATTGATTTTTATTCTGAGCTGAAATTGTACGGCAGGAGTGCCCTGGAGTGGGAGTCAGGATGGATATAAGCCTGATGTGGGCATCAACACTCCATCTTACGCCCGTTTTCCCCCTTCAGTCCTCTATCAATAATCTTTGGCTGGGAGGAAAGTAAAATGACCTGATTTTTCAACCTCTGTTTTAGTAAAGAGAAAGTACCTGGTTTCAACCTTGTATTAGCCAGGTCACTTGCTGCTCTACCTTTTGAAAACAAACCAGACCCAGCTGGTGTTTTTTATTATTCTTATTATTGTGGGTGAGGATTCTGAAGGTGGCCTGTTCATGGCCATGCTTGCTTTTTTGTTGTTGTTAATCCTCATCCGAGGATATTGTCCTTTTGATTTTTAAAAAAAATATATCTTTATTGATTTCAGAGAGAGGAAGGGGGAGAGAGAGAGAAAGAGAGAGAGAAAGAAACAACAATGATGAGAGAGTCGTCATTGATTGGCTGGCTCCTGCACACCCCCGACTGGGGATCAGGATTGAGCCTGCAACCCCGGCATGTGCTCTGACCAGGAATCGAGCCTGCTACCCTGCAGTTCACCGGCCAAGCTCTCACCATTGAGCAGCACTGGCCAGAGCTTGGCTGTGCTTCCTTATCAGTCCAGGGAAGAGGTCAGAGGCCACAGGAAGAATTCCTTCTCTTCTAGATGGTTATCTCACCCTCCACAGTCAGGCCTTGGCCTTTTGAGCTCTGGGCTGTTATCACAGCAATATGGGGAACCCACTGAGTAGGCAACTGGAAGCCTATTGGAGGCTTTTTCCTACCTGTGTTAATCATTAACCTTGGCTTGGGAGAAGGGCCAGGCCCATATGTGGGGCCAGGGTGGTCACTGTTCTCCCCTTTCTACCCCAAGTCATCTCATCATCTGCAAGGCTATCCAGGCAGAAGGGAGAATCCCTCCCTGTTTTTTCCCCTGACAGCGTGTTGCCTTTCTCTTTTAAGCATGAGCAGTATTTGCTAATATATTTGCTGAAGCTTTCCTATCCTACTGCCCCAGGATAGGAAAGCTTCTTGTGGGGTCTCTGGGGTTCCACTGTTGTGGCTGCATTTGCCTTGAGATCTGTAATCCAGGGCATGTCACTTTCCTTAGGGTGGTCCTGGAGGCTTTGGGAAAGTGTTTTCTGCTGTTTCCTGGGCTTGCTGTGATGGGAATGCTGGCCTTTCTGGTCATTGCTCATTCTGAGGGCTGGACTAGTCCCTGTTGGAGTCTGGGGAGCCTGGCTATAGTGTAGCCTTCATCCTTGCTCTGTGGGTTTCTCTGGGGCCAGCTCCCTGGGAAGAGCCACTCCCCTGGCCCTTTCAGAAACTCAGAGGTACCAGTGTGCTGCCCCTTCCCTTGATTGGCCCAGTGCTGGGCTGGGTCACACACTGCCCCATTGTACTGTGCCTTCGATGCAGCTCTTGTTGCAGTGTCTGATCCCAGGGCCAGTTCTCTCCCAGCCCCTTTCCTCAGAGCCTGTGGGAGATGGTGGGTGGACTCTGCTAGCACAGGCGTGGGATGGGTGGCAGCTGCATCTGTGGGTGGCTTTGTTTTTACAACCCAGCTTTCAGGGCTCTGGTGTAGCCTGGCATTAGTGTTCGGGGAATAGGCGAGAAAGGAGCTGCCCCCCACTGGTAGCAGCTACCTTTCCACAACAGCTGAACTCCCTGTTGATCAACCAACCAGAGAGCCTTGTTACATGGGGTCAGTGAGCTGGACTCACTGGGTGGCAGGGGAGTGCTATACCTTGCCTGGCATGATTTCTGGGTGGGAGAAATTCCCTGAGTGTTGGTACTGAGTCCAGAGGCGCCTTCCCTGTCAGGAGACTGCAGTGTCTACCCTGGGCATCTGCAGCTTGGCATTCCTTCTGTTCTCTCTTTGCAGCTCCGGAGTTGGGAGTTGGGCTGCTCACAAACCAAGCTGTCTGTTTATATGGAGTGCCTGGAGGGTGTCTGCCATGAGTCTTTCGCTAACTGTGCTAACCAGGAGAGCTGGCTGGCTGGGGAGAAGACACTAACCCTGTGAGTCTGACCTGGGCCAGCTAACCTACCCTGGGAATGCCACCAGCAGTGCCTGTGTCCTCTCTCCCTCCCGCAGTCTGGCTACCTTCTGCCCCTAGCTTACTTCATGCCATCTCCTCTGCTCTCTGGTCCTTATTACTGGCTTCCCTCCATCTTCCCAGTCTCCTTGCTTTGGGTGGGGATGTGCCCCCTTCATGGCCAGGAGAGGAGGGTTTCCTAGGCATGGACACCTGCCCATCTGCCAGCCTGCTGTGGGACTTGGCCTCCCCTTAGTCTGTACCATGCCTCCCAGATCTTTCTTAAAAACAGAATTGGGTCAGTTTCTGTTTAATATGCCTTTAGCACCATGGAGTTTGAGAATGTCCCTCAGTTAGCATGCTGTTTCTTTTCCTGCCTCAAAGACAGATGGAGATTTTCTTTTAGACAGAGTAGTATCCTCCCTTTTTCAAGAGGGAAGATTGAATGGTGTCTCCGTTATTCTTACCCCAGGATAATAATTTCGGGTTAGCTGCAAAGTTCTCCTTGGGGTTGGGGAGGTTGAGGAAAACCTTGGATTAGTTGTGGGAAATTCCCTGGGCAGAAGAGTGAATCTACTTTAACTGAAAGCTGGAGCCCAGAACCAGGTACCCATCTGAGATGTAACTCCCATTGGTGACTGTCACTCTGGGAGGTGGAGTGGGTGGAGTTTGGCCCCCCACTGCCTTCCAGGGCTGGAACTTTATTTAGGTGGACTTTAGCCGAGAAGAGCTGAGAAGGGCGCCATAGCCCAAGGGAGCAGGACTTGCTTTCGATTCCACAGTGGGCCTAGGAGAGGCTGTGGCCTCAGATTGGGAGGCTGGTGCTCGGCCTGCCATGGAGAAGCTCCTGCCACACTCCCTTCTCCCTCTAGGCTTGGAAAGGAGAAGGGAGTTCTGGAGATAACAGGAAGGCTGATTGCTTGGAGCTCCCTGGTGTTGTGCACAGGTAACTCTTCAGACAAACTCTGTCTCCAGCCTCTGGAGGCTGTGCAGTATGGGGTAGGCTGGAGAGGGAAATGAGGCCCTCAAATTATTCTTTACCCTTGGGCTGAGAGGGAAAAGGCAGTGAGTGGGTGGTCCACTGGCATGGGGTGGGAGTGTGTAAATGTGAGAACTGGTAGATGCTACTGAGACATTTAGAGACCCTGAGTTAGAAAGCTGGAGAGGTTTGTGGCTTGGCTCTGCCAGGAAAGCCAAAGGAGACTGGAGGAGAGGCTTAGTTCAGGACCACCCCTCACTTTGCTCTTCCAACTTAGGAGAGGGCATGGGGACTACTGCCAAGTGCTGCTTATGATCTTGGGGATTTTTTGCCCTCTCTTTATGAGGGGAGGGTTTGGTTTGCTTGGATCAGCATCAGTAGTTGTCAACCCCTTTGTTCCTGTCTAGTGTTTGCTTGGATGAGGTCAGGTGATAGACTTGAGTTATTTGCTCAGGTGGGGAGCCAGGTGAGCACTCGAGGTCACCAGCTTTAGTTCTGAGTCCTCAGGATTACTCTGTGGCAGAATACTACCCACCCATTTTGGCTATTAAAAACCTGTCAGTCTGTTCTGCTTAGAGCAGGCATAAAGCCAGGGCAGGGCCGCAGGCAGCTTGTCCCAAGAGGGAGAGATTGTACTTGCCCAGAGGGGTGGCAGGCATGGCTGTCAGAGGGGCAGCAGGGCTGGTCTGGGCACAGACTGGCATCTTCCAGCCTAGTCACCAGCCCAGAGAAGAGCCTTCCCAGGCCCCACCCCATGAGCTGCTGGCTGCTTGCCCGCCACGCGCCCAGGATTGCTGAGGGCTTTGCTCATGTATCTCAGGAACAGCTGCATGCCGGAAACTGGGGGCTGGTGGCACTCAGGAGGGGCACCCACCCGGGGGTCAGTGTGGGGAAGGCTGAGCCCCAAGAGTTCTGGTAGGATCTGCTCACTGTGCTGGAGGACTATTTTGCTGTTCACTGACAGTCCAGGTGGAGAGGGGCCATATTAATGGTAGTGGGGACCCCTGCCCAGTCACCTGGTTACAGGGCTGGTTTGTGTCTCTCTGCCTCAGCTGGAGTCATAGCCTGGATTTTAGGGGCTTGTGGTGCAGCTTCCACCAGGCTTGTAGAGTTCAGACTCTACATACAACTGAGGACAGTTAGCTTTTATTTTATTTATTTAAATCCTCACTCAAGGATATTTTTTCCATTGATTGTCTAGAGAGAGTAGGAGGGAGGGAGAGAGAGAGAAACATCCACTTGTCACCTCGCGCACGAACCCTTACCACTGGGGCTGAGGATCGAACCTGCAGCCTTTCAGAGCATGGGCCGACACTCTAACCACTGAGCAGCACTGGCCAGGGCAGGACAGTTAGCTTTTAGCTGAGGACAGTTCCCACAGAGGTAGCGCTAGTTCCTGTGTCATCAGACATGCATGTTTTAGCAGTTGAGTAGGAGCTTTAGGAAGGGCTTGTATTTATTTCTCTTATTTATATCTTGCCAGGTTCCAAGGGAATTATGGCAGTACACAGCACAGCTGGCATATTCTGAAGGGCTGGTTTTCCTTTCATTTTAATAACAGCAGTGATTCCTGACTTCCATTTGACTTTTCTTGGGTGGGTTATGAAGAAGAGCCCTAATGATTTTGGTGGTGATGTGTGGGCTCTTCATAATTGAGAACGTTGGGTTCATTGACCCCTCAAAGTGTCCCACTTGCTTGATTCAGTGACATCTGTGAGCAGAAAGGTGTATCATTGGTTCGTAAGTAGTCTGAGCCCAGATAAACTGTTGGGGCTGTAATTTCCTGAAGAGAGCATGGGTGATGTGGAGAGCGGGGGTGGCAGTCCATCTTTCTAGGGTAGGGCAGCTGAACCTGGCAGTAAAGTTGTAGGGCAGAACTTGGAAGCTGGAGAAGACATCTGATGGGGGAAGGCAGAAGTTTGAAAAGCCAAATAGCCACACCCATTTTGGATTTAATCCATTCTCCCTCTGCTGGGCCAGTGTTGAAGGGGTGGCCTTTCTGAGCCCTCAGAGGGGTGCTTGGACCTCCTTTCCTCTCCTGTGTCTTTGACTTTGCCCTGGTCCTTGGGGAATCCCATAGAAAGGATGGCAAAAGGAAGTGAGCGGGTGTCCTTGGCTCTTGAACGTGAACTTGCTGTTGCCTCCTGTGGGTGTCTGCTGGGAGTAGGAGTAAGGATAGTGGTTTGGAGAAAATCAGGATTCTGAAAAGTTTTCTCTCTATCCTGCTCCATCTCCAGCAGCAGTGATCCCTGACCACAGTGGAAGCCCCTGGTCACATTCCCATACTTCATATCCACAAAAAAGGAGCAGATATGAGTTCCATCTCCTGGTTAGAGTGACGCTTGGCAAATTTTTTGTCCTTTGATTAAAGGGTACTGCTCACCCAACTTCTGACACACATTTCTCCTTATATCTGTCTCTGTCTACACTCGCTGCTCAGCTGTTCAGGGTCACAGTGTAGGTTCACTGTGCGTGAGAGTCCCATTTCTAATGAAAGCAGACTTTGTTCTCTGGAGGCAGCTAATCATGCCCCATGGGCTGTAATCAGGGAGAAGGTATTTAATACAGGGCAGGCGGCAACAGGCGGCCTGCACCGACTGGCAGATTGCAACATGGCAATTAGGAAGCTATCACCACCCCCCCTCCACCCCAGCAGATATAGGGTTGAGTCTCTCCTCCTGATTTTGAGTAAGCGAAGAATGAATACTATGCAGAAGAGGAAGGAGGGGGCGGGTTGGTGGGGGGCAGCGAGGGGTGAAGAGAGCTGCCTTTTCTTCTCACCTAACCTCCCTGAGATGGGGAGGGTTTACTGCTGCTCTGGGTGTCTCCCTCTACAGTGCCTGCAGGTCCAGCCCAAGGAGCCTCAGACCAAACTGGGTCAGCCAGAGGTTTTATTGTACGCCTCAGCCTTTCTTTCAGAGCACAGCTGTACTTGCAGTAAAACCCAGCATGTGATCTGGTAGCTCCACATCCTTAGTCATCTGCCCCATTCCTTGAAGCTCCGGTAGTTTGGAGTGAGATTCTTCCCTGGCAATTTCTAGACCTCCCAGAGGACCATTTTCCAGAGCTGGGCACCAGGAGGCCCTAAAGGCTTGCTTGCTTGCTCATCATGGCCCATGGCCCATTCTGAACTGCCAGCTGCTTTCCCTGGAGGCCTCCTTTTCTCCATGCAGGGTTGGAGTCTTCCTTGGGCTGAAACACTACAAGGCCACCTGGGAACCTCTTGGTGGAGATGTGGCCAGTGGAGGCTGTACCTGGTAGCTGGACTTCCTGGAGGGTCTGCTCTGCTGCTTTTCAGCTTGCCTTTCTTCCCCCAGCCTCTGGGCCTGGTGTCCAGCTGCTTCCTGTTCTGTTCTCCACTCTACCTGGCATTGTTTTCCCCCTGGGCCTGTCCTTCCCTGGAGCGCTTCTAGTCAAGGACAGCGGCCTGCCAGGCCCACTGTGTTCCTGTTCAGTGCTGGCATTGTGGGCCCCTATAGGCTGTATCTGGGGCACTTAGCAGATCTCAGGAGTTGGAGCAAGGCTCTGACATGCACTGGTATTTATGGACAGAGGGCAGGTAGTGGCACAGACTTTCCCTTGTGGACTTGTGCTGGGGACACTGCAGGCTCCCTGGTGGACTGTCCCCTTAGTGGGCATGGCCTTCTGCTTCCCTAGTTGAGAGTGGTTCCCCTCCCTGTGACATGCGTGAAAAGAGTAGGCTCTGGCTGGGAGAGAGAACCATTCCATCTCCCCACCATTTACCCCAGAGAGTCCGTGTCTGCATTTACTCCCCATCTCACTGCCACCCACATCCACGCTGTCTGCCCCGTCAGCACACCAGACTATCTGGCTGTGGAAGGCCTGGGAATATGTGCTCTGGGGCTGGGGAGTGGGGACTTGAGGTCAGGACAAGGCAGGATAGCTGTAGGATCTGTGGCAATTAGAGTGAGAGCTGTGGAGCGTGGAGTGAGGCCACTCTCCTTACAGGTAGAATTACCAGATACCTGAGCAGTCAGTGTCCTCCCTGTCCACTGCCCATACACATGTCCTGGAGCCTAGAGGACAGTGTGGGCATTGGCAGGAATAGGGTAGGGAAGAAAAGAAGCAGCTGAAAATAGAGGAGGGTACACAAAGGGGCCTGAAGGGACAAAGGGGCTACCCAGCTGACTGGGGATCACATGAGAGCAGGGGCCTGGATTCTCTATAGAGAAGGGGAGAAGGCAAAGGCCAGCACAGGAGCCTCCCCTGGCTTTTATAGAATCTCTTTGGCCACATGTAATGCTTACTTCTGTGTCTCTGGCTCTACCCACTTTTCCAACTCAAATACACCCCTCTACTTATACACCCTGTATAAGAACCCAGGTACCCAGGCTGGTTCTGTGTATCAGAACCCAGGTACCCAGGCTGGTTTGGGCTTTCTGGGCCTCTTCCCCAGGCCATAAAAGTGCTCACCCTGGAGCCCTCTGAAGGGGTAGCCCTGGGGAACCTGTAGGGGTGACTTGTTTGCTCCCCACACCCTAGGAATGTACTGTCCTTTCAGGCCCGCCCGGATTCCTGTGCAGAGAGTCAGCTTGACACAGCATGCTGCTTATGCCCTGTGGGGACACGTTCTGCTTCACCATCAAAGGGGTGGAGGTTGGCGGCTCGTGCCTGCTGTCACACCCCAGCTCCTCCAGAACCCCAAGCCAGAGACCAGGCTGTTCAGACAGAAGAGGGAGGCCACTCCTGCTTCCCCACCCTCCCTACACCCTCACCGTTCTTCCTGCCTCAGGCCCTGTTGAAATGTGACAGGAGTCATGGCCAGGGCATGTCCCAACAGCAGGAACACACGCTTTAGCCCACAAGGCTTCCTTCAGCCCCCAGCTCTGTTTAGGTGGAAGGCAGCAGGAAGGTTGTTTATGCCCAGGAGGCCACCTAAGGTTACTGCCTCCATTGGTCCCTGTGGTGGCTGCTGCCCCCCTGCTGCGGTCTAGTTTATTACAGGTGGGGGCAGAGCTCTGAACCCTGAGAACCTGGAGGGAACCACATAGGTTACGCAGTCCAGCCCCCTAGGGCAGATGAGAAAGGCTTACCTAGTGAGCAAGAGCCACACAGGGTGTCAGAAGCATCACTGAGTCTGAAACTCCCATGTCTCAGCTCCCTGGGCTTGGGTTTTCTACACCAGGGTTTCTCAACCGTGGCACTGTCAACGCTATGCTGATAATTCTTTCTTGAGGGGGTGTCCTGTGCATCGCAGGATGTTTAGCAGCAGCCCTGGCCTCTACCCACTAGATGCCAATAGCACCCACTCCTATTGTGATAACCAGATATGTCTTCAGACATTTGCCAGATAGATATCTGAGAAGGGAGAGAGGGGGGACCAAAGTCACCCTGTTTGAGAATCATCATTGCTCTAAACTGCTGCCTTTTTAGATTTTCTCTCCTATACCTACCCCTCCTCATCACAAAGTCTGTTTACCACCATTGTATACAGAGGTAGTCTTTGGGCTCCTGGAAACTGCTAGGAGCTTTCTTTCTAGCGTCTTCTTGCATCTTTTCTAGGCTTTTTCCTGGTATTCTCTTGTGTAACCCATGTTCTCCAAACCTCTTACTAGTTTCCAGACTCTGAGAGGCCTGGGAGATGAATAGGACAGATGTGGGGTAGGATAGGGACAAGACAGGACCAGACCTGTTTCAGAATTGGGCATGTGGGTAAGCTGAGACCATGAACACATACACAGACACATGTGACATTATTCATGGAAAAGGCAGGAGCTCAGTGCTTCTAGTCCTCTCACACCTCCACCGCTTCCCCCTCTAACCCCCTGTCCCATGGTTTTGTGGCTGACTCTCCCTGGGGGAGGGGGGGACCTTCCAGGTCCTAGACTGGGCAGGGTGGCCTGTGGCACTGACAGACAGGTGGCTGACACCTGGTTTCCCCTTTCTTCCCTTCTCTGGTTTCAGGAGCTTTTGGCTAGAGGAAGTGGAGGGGCCGTGGGATGCGGAGAGCCGAGGGCTAACTCCTGGACAGCGGAACAGAGTGAGCTGCTGACAAACAGACGGTATGTCCCTGTGAGGCCTGCACCCCCCATGTGACTCTCTTCTGGGGAGGCTGGCTGGTGAGGGGGCCAGCAGGTGGCCCCTCTTGTTGGGGGGCTGGTGAAAGGAGAGTGGTGGAGGCCAGTGGGGCTTGGCCTTCAGGGCTCTCTCAAGCTCAGAGACCCCCACTGAGGAGCCTGGGTTGGGCGATTATCCTCAAACCCTTACTTTACAGTTACAGTTATATATATATATTTATATTTATATATATATATATATATATATATATAAATTTAAATATCTTTATTGATTTCAGAGAGAGGAAAGAAGAGGGAGAGAGAGAGAGAGAGAGAGATAGAAACATCAGTGATGAGAGAGTCATTGA